CCCCGACCCGCGCACACCCGTGGTGGGGAGGGCGGGGGGTATGGTGGTGGGGTAAAAAAATACAAAAATCTATAAAGGTGGCGGAGGTTGAGAAACACTGATTTACATAATTGTGTCTTTTGTGCAACGATGTCACATCACAGGGGTCACCATTTTGACCTCCCCATGGCTTATTATGGACGCTGAAGAGGCTTCCAGGAGGTATCTTAGTACAAAGCGTTGTAAATTACAAAGATTTGGGATAAAGTACCTTGTGGCAGTACAGCAGCCAGTTATTTCTGTTAGCGGCACTCATTTAATAAAATGGCATCTATTATCTCCTTTTAATTCCTTGGCCTAGATTAGGGAGCTCCTGTTTCTGAACTGTTCCCTCTGGCAGCTGAAAAATGTAACGGGTAAAAAAAAGGTAGAAAGAGGGGAGAACTCAGCACCTTCCTTGGCAATCTGCTTTTGTTTTCATCCTGCCACCAGCACTGGGTTTTTGTATAAGTTATCCTAAAGTTTCACTGATGGCATGAGAAATCAAATAAAAGCAATCCATTTGCAGGGGAAGGGGATGAGCAATTGTGTCCTCAGTTTCAGTTCAGGGCAAAAAAAAGGGGGGGTACATGGTACTTCTCAGAACAATTAGGATGCTATGCTTAAGCTAGAAGCAAGTGGTATTTCATTAGAGTGAAAAGAGATGAACCAGCAGGCTGATGGCTAACAGATGCAGGCAGAAATTCAGCTTCTACCCAGATGCCTTCTACACTGGGTTTCCCTTCCAGGAACATCAACAGGATGGCATACCATCTTTTCTTAAAACTCACTTCTGCAACGAGGAATTTATCCAAATCCTTTAGTCATCACTTCATTTCCCTTCATTCCCCCGCAACAGCGGCAGATGTCCTTCTCGTAGGAATGCGCTTAAAAAAAAAAAAAAGTTTTCCATTTGTTGAGGGGCCCAGAAGCTGTGGCAGTGAGCATTAGCTCACTGTCACAGCTCCTTACTAATTATAGTACACCAGTAGAAAGGGCAGAACTTGCTTTTGGTACTTTTTGTTATGGGGAGGAGTCTTAGGTGTTTTAGACTACTGGAAACTTAAAGCACTATTTTAATATAAGCCTGCCGCTTAAACAAACTGTAGAAAGTCACACGAGGGATTCTGCTGCTAACCTTGGAGGATTCAGGGACCAAAAAAAAGGGATTGGAGAGCTGCAAGCAAAGTGTATGCTGCCCATCCTTATCAAAATCGTAAATTGCGAACTTGGTGGGGCAAGCACCTGCTTTTATCCTTCTATATGCTGATGCTGTAAAGAAATGAACAGCAGCCACTACTGGAGGGTAAAACCCACTTTTCTCTTAATGGGAAACAATGAATGCACCAATATTGGGGCACCGTCTGAACTTACTTCTCAGCTACCTTGTTGAAAGTAACAGGTGTGGGTCTTATCAGTTTGGATAGTTTGCTGGGGAACAAAGTTGGAGATCCACAGTAATATATCTGCAGACTATAGTTCCAAATGCATTCACAGAAAAAGAACTCAATTGCCTCTACTCATCAAACACAACAGCTTCCTTTGAAATCTTTATTTCTGGCATAATCTCTTCTGTTTTTTCCCACGATTAACAACTCTGTTTATTATGAAGGCCTGCTTGTGTATATGTGTGTGCATATGTACAAATATTTAGCATTTATTTAGCGTTTTCAGAACAATTTGCAACCCGGGATCACTGCCTGGAGACTTTGGGGGAATGACCTTACAGTATGTTAAGAACCAGGCAGGATACTGCCAGAGGAATGTCTTGGGAGAAACACCTGGAAAAAGTGGCCAGAAGCCATTTCTCCTCCAGATGTCAAACAGAACATAGTTGTGAGCAAGACACTTTTCCTCCAGACTTCCTTTTTCCCCCCTTCATTTTATATGCTTTAAAATGTGCATATTAAATTACATAAAGGGAGAGGCATAATTGAAAAAGTAGATGCTGCCCTCCCTTTGGTTTTTTCTTGACTTAAATTCAAGATTCTTGTTTATTTTTAAAAAAATTAAAACATGAGCATGAGATTGAAGCACAGGGAACCAAAACAAAAAAACCCAACATATATATTACAAATATATCTTGTTCCACAGTATGAATTTGCCTTTAGAAAAATTAAAATCTTGATTAAAAATACACTGGAACTTTCCAAAATACTGAGAGAAAAAAGTTATATATACATATATACACTCAGCCTCCCTAGTAATGTTAAAACCCAGACATGGGGGTCACCATGCTTCAGACTTGGCCCCAAATTAAAGCATTGTCTTAGAATGTGACTTAGGTCGAGTAAAGTCCAAAAGAAAAAAGATGGAACTGGAAAAATGCAGGTTCAGTTAGTGCTAGAGCCAGAGCTGCAACAACAGATAAAGACAGAGCATTTTTCCCTGTTCCCCAACTAATACCTGAGGATTCTGGTGGAACAATAATGCCATATGTTCTCCAATGCCAAGGTGGCCATTGCCCATCTAGCACAGGACAGTTCCAGACTTGTGCATCATCTTTACAGCTCTGCAGAGTCCGAAATATGGCTGGACAGGACCATACAAACCAGCACTTTTACCTCTCCAAATACTGGAATATACTTCGGGTTTCTTGAACTGACATGCTGTCAAGTCGCAGTCGTTTAGGAGAAGGCGCAGCAATGGGAAGCAGAGTTCTTCTCTTGACCTAGAAGATGGCAGGAACCAGTTAGTTCCAAACAAGTCTAGATCATCAGAATCTCATTACTTTAATCTGCCTGGACATATCTCAGTCTTTGGCTACCACAAAAGAACCACTGTGCTCTCAGTTAACAGAAGCATCCTTATCTAACTTAACCTGGAGCCTCTGATTTGCCTCTAGCCAGTTGAGCAATTGCCCTCTCCAAACCAGAATAACACAATCCAAGCCCAACAGCGCTTAAAAATTATTTAACTAGAGACTACAGGACGTCCTCAAGACCTTCACGCCAGGAGGAAAGTCCAGGGCTGACCAACATGACTGACTGGGCCAGAACCCATGGGGATCAGCACGCAGGTCACACCGTGTTCACAGGTGGGAACAGCAGCGCTGCAACTGACAGCTGGGAAACTGAGTTAGGGAAATGCACAGAAAAAGCCCCACTGCATCAGCTAAGTATCTAGTTTATACAGCACATCCAGGAAGCTCGGAAGCAAAGCAACAACTATCAACAATAAGCCCACACAACTGAAAACCTTTGCTTTACTTATCACTAGGGATGTCCAGCATTTTGGATCCAAAGCCAAAAACAGGCTTTGGAGCAGGCAGGGGCACACGTGTCACTCCTATCAGGGCCTCCTTACAGAAGCTGCCTCTTTTCCAGGGCTCGCATGGCAGCTATGCAATCCCAAGAAAATGCACATTTCAAGCTACGAAGACTCCAGGAGCCTGCCTTGGCCTGCTCTGAAGCACCCTGTTGCATCAACAGATTGCGGATTCCCACTGAAGAAACCATGCTCTGCAGGTGGATGGGTGTTTCTGCCAGGTGGTGATTGGCTGGGCCAGCATGGCTAGCCATGGAGTCCATAAGCTCGTCTCTGACAGCAAGCAGGGATTTTCAACCACAAAGAGAGACAGAAGTGGCCTCTTTGAAGTTACAGTCCACTATCTATGGGCTGCTGCTGCTCTTCTCGTGGTGCGAAAGCATCTCAATTTACTTGCCAACCACAGGTACAAATTGTGATCCAAACTATTCTACCTGGGGAACGCAGGACCTGGAGGGAGGGAGGACGGACGGACAGATATAAAATAAGTAAAAACAAAATACAATTTAAGTGACAGACTCTCCTCAAATAAATCAGATTTCTACCTGAGGCTTGGCCTTCTCCCTCATCTCCTCGCTCTTAACTGGGGACACCGTCTGGAAGACAAATTTCCGCGAGTTCCTGGGGGCATTTGGGTTGAGATCAGACATGGCTGCCAATTTCTGCAAGACTGCTTTAGGCTGGTTCAGCAGGGATCCATTCTTCAGCTGTCAGGTGGAAAGAAAGGTATCTAAAGACATGCATTCAAGCAACAGGACAGAATACGATTTCAGCCTTCAGCAGCGTAGAGAGTCACCCTGTTCTGTCTCACAGGCACAGTAAATAAGGAAGAGCAATTAATTTCTCTGTTTCTTAATTTAGGTAAGCCATAGTGGAAACATGTCAGGAACATATGAACTGTACAGTAGTGAGAGAGGGAACAAGTCCATCGATTCATTTAGCCAGGTTTGTCTGCTCTACCAGCGACAATTCTCTATGGAGTCGCTCCCAGCCGAGAGATTCTGTGACTGGAGAAGGCGGGGTTGAACCAGGGATATTTTCCATGGGAAGCACATGGTTCAGCAATAGACAGACAAGCTTCTTCACACAGTCAAAGCTATCTGTGGTACCCCAACCCCTAGGGGCAATCTGGTATCTATTACTGGAGAAAGGAGGCCCACCTCTATAACAAAAAAAGCTTTCTACTAGCAGTACAAATTTAAACAAGAAATCATCCATCCTCAGATGATACTAACCTGTGGTTTGCTGCCAGGCTGGAAAGTTTCAAATGGATTTCTGGGTAGTGATTTAATTTCCTGAACAGCTACTGCAGAGATTGCTAGGAGGGCAAAGAAAAAAACAACAACAGGGAGAGAAAGGAAAGCTTTTCAGGAGGCAAACCAACAACGACAGCGCAAAAAGGGTAAGTTACACCTGCCCCTTCCTCGGCCATTCACACTGTGCAGAAGCAGAAAGGTTTCACGTTTGGAGAAACTGCTTTGTGACTCACAGGCCAGTCGAGGAGGACCTGGACTTGGAGATCATCCTTGACCATCTCAAAGCTGCTCTGAGGACAGTATTTGGTGAGGGAAGTTCCCAATGAGCAGAATATTCAGGGCATTCACACCCACCTGCAGTCATATATATTGTTCCCCTGCTTAAATTGGGCTGCTGCTTCTGCAGTTCACAAATGTATTCCTAAATGTTTTTAACGTATGATTTTTTTTTAATGGGAGATAGGCCTCCGTAATTAAAATCTAAGTGTGCGGCCATCATTATTTATATACTGCCTGTCTCACACAAAGTGACTCTGGGCGGCGTACAACAATTAAATAAAATAATAAATGGATAAAAACAATCATTATAAAGAGATAAAAAGTGATTATTAAAACGAAAACATCAAAAAATGTTTTAAATTTTAATTTTAAAGTATACAAACCCCACAGAGAGAGCAGAATATCAGTTACAGGGGAGCCATCTAAGAATGTCTCCCAGTTCCTAAAGACCCCCAGGCCTGATGACAGAACCAGGTCTTGAAGGACTTCCTAAACAACAGCAGGGAAGGGGCGAGCCTCACTTCAGGGGGGAGAATGTTCCACAAGGAGCCACGGCAGAGAAGGCCCGCCTCCTGGGACCCACCAAATGCAAGTCTCTGGATGATGGAACACACAGGATACCTTCCCTGCTAGATCTAATGGGACAGGCTGATGTAATTGGGGAGAAGTGGTCCCTCAGATAACCCAGCTCATGCCATGGAGGACTTTAAAGGTCAAAACCAGTACCTTGAATTGGACCCGAATTCATAAATTTTCCTACTCAGACTCAGAAGAATTAAACCTTAAAAACTCAAGAATCCCAGCTGCTGCTGAAAACAGGTTTGTGGGAAGGATGTCCAAATGTTTCAGAAATATTATTAGAGGAGGGGCTCCAAGTGTGTTTCTGGACATAAGGAAAACAGCAGGTTTCAAACCTTGAATCTAAAACCTCGAAAGATGGGCATCTGAACGTTTGAAGAACCACCTTCTCCTGATGGAACTGAGAAAGACCAGGAAGGTGGCCAACAGGGTCCCTTTGAGATCTTTTTAAGATCACCACTTTTAGAGAGGCTTGTGGCAACTTCAGGGCAACTTTTCAGTGATGTTGCCCCACTTGTTAAATGCCCTTTCCAGGCCACTGAAGAAGACACTGATGTTAGCATAGTTCAAGCACTAGATTACAGCCATTATTTCTATCAAAGTTTTCTATGGCTACTGCTGATATGCTGGCACTGCAGATATTTACATCATCCTGGGCTGCTTTATTGTAGGAAAATTTGCTGTATTGTTGTATGAAGGAATCTTTCCCCAGCTTGGTCACCTCCATACTTCGAAAGTATCAAGACGGGAAAGGCAATATTAAGAACCATTTTGTGCTAAGGTGGGAAGGGTTGTATTCCTAATCAGGTTGCTTTTGTGAGCTGACATTTTATTAACGTGTGTCACTATTTAACCTATCAATATTTAAAATATATTAACAACTTCTGGTGGCTGCTCTTAACTTTGGGGAAGGGAAGCAAGGGATACAGAGAAAAGGACAATGTTCCAAAATTAGTAAGAGTAAATCACACTTATTTGGCTGGAGGGAGGGGAGGCACACACGAAACATGTTGCTTTAAAACTTAGAAGAAAACCAACATCTTTTGTGTCTTTCCCCCCGCTCAATATGTGTGATTCAGCCTCATGAATTTCAGCTAGTTGGCCAAGAGAGAGGGTTATTGATTTCTTAAGCTATGGTGAGCTTATTAAAGTTGCTATAATTTTGACTTGCTTCCTGGATCTCTAGGATTGTCTCCACTCAATTTTTGACCTGCCCGATGCACCAGGGAACATCTATTAATAGTCACCCATATCCAGGAGATTAGGGGGAGGGAGATGTGAAAACCTTTTCCCATGGCAGTGCCAATTCAGTGGAACTTCCTGACTCCTAGAATCTAGTCAGCTCCTACCTTGTTAGGTTTCAAGATACAGCAACAACTGTTTAAGGGAACATTTGAGTTACTGGTGTCACCTTCAATTTTTACTACTTTTAATTAGTTTATGATTTTTTCCCATGTTTCAATTATTACTTTTCGTTTTGTGATTGACATTATAACCTGCGGGAGTCTCTCAACTGGCAGGTTAAAAAAAAATCAAATCGCTCAATCAATAAAATGCCAAGTAAAATATATCAATGATCTTTGGCAATTGCACAATTGAAATTCAGTGAAGATTTGAAGGAAGATCCAGGGACCATAAAGAGGGATGGGATAACCCTGTGGATTGCCCTGCCTTGATTTTTTAAAAATGGCAATTAAAAAAAAGAAGTCCAAAAGATCATGTAGTACTTCTTTGTTAAGGTGTAATTCTGCCCTTCAGAAAGGAGAAAAGAAGCATACCTTTCTTTTGTAATGACTTTTTGGTGACTTTTTTGGCCAATTTCATGAACTGGCTATCCTCGTCAACATCCTCCTCTTCTCCTTTCTTGGACTGTGAATAAGCAGAACTTTTATTAGGCAAAGTAGCAAGAAGTAAAGAAAGAAGCAGAAAAAAATATTGAACAAAACCACTGTGTGCTAATCTGTACTAGGCTTTAAAAACACTTTGATTTAGGAGCATCTGTGGGAATGAGCCCATTTTTGCCATCAAATTGGGAATGGCAGAACATTCCACTCTCAGAGTACAATTCAACATATTTGAGTCATATTTATGTTCTGTGTTTAAAGATTTAAATGTATTTATTTATTTATAAGACTTATACGGCCACCCATTTTATGTACAATAACCTTGGGCGGCTCATAAAAACAGTAGCAATCTAAAAAGAACAATAAAACCAGCATCAAACAACTCCCAACACCCCAAAACAACACTGCCTCATATATTAACAATCACATTTATTGGGCTCCAGCCTCACCCTAGCCCAGCGCTAGACTAGATCTCTTATATACTGTATGTCCTGAAAATACACACATATAGAAATATTCCTAAAAAGACCAAATTATTATTGTTTGGACACATTATGTGAAGACCTAGTTCTCTGAAGAAGTCTATCATTCTGGGAAAGGTAGGAGAAAAGAGAAGAGGACAACCAGCAGCAACACGGATAGACTCAATTACAGCAGTAATAGAAGATGTAAAGGCCAGGTTGAAGAGAGATCATCATGGACAAGGTCTGTCTATGTGGTTGCTAAAAGTCAACACTGACTTAATAGCATATAATTAAAGAATCAATGAATCAATCCATTATTATTGTTGAAATGCTACATCTGAACACTCTTTGAGTTGCATATCACCACCTTTTTGCTTTGAAAGCTATTGCTATGCAGTTGATAGAACAATGGGGATCCACTAGCCCAGTTTATTTAAGCGTTTGTGAACTCTGTAGGGGATCTTAGTCTATAGTGCCTGATGGAAAGTTATTTTATACCTCATAAAACATGTATTTTATTACAGATTATTATCTGTGAAATATAATAAAAAGAAGGAATAAAATTATCTGATCATTATTCTCATCTTGCATGGAGGCTTTGCACAGGAGAATCATCAAACTAGCAATCATCCAGGCTAGTTGTATCTATTTTCTTTGTTAAAATCTATGTTAGCCTTCCCTCCTAAACCATAAGGGAAGCTTGACATACTACTATTTCCTCCAACTTACCTCTACAACAACCCTTTAAGGTAATTTGGCTGAGTGATAATGACTGCCCCCAAATCATCTGCTACACCAGGGTTTCTTAACCTTGGCAGCTTGAAGGTGTGTAGACTTCAACTCCCAGAATTCCCCAGCCAGCCATGTCCACACACCTTCAAGCTTCCAAGGCTGAGGATACTGTGCTAAGCTTTTATGGCTGACCTCAACCTGGGTCTCCCCAGTTCCCAAGTCCAGTCCCAGTCTCAAAGCCTGCATTTTCTCTCTCTCTCTCTCTTTCTCTTTCTCAAGAGCTGCATTCCTGCAGGAATATTCAGCCGCTGGACCGATGCAAAGAGCGGGTCCAGAATTTGTTAAAATTTTATTTATTAATTTGTTTACTCTTTTTTTGACACCCCATTTTAAAAGTCTTTCTCCTTGATACCCTCTTTCCTCTGTTCCTCTCACGTAATAGACGGTTGGGGAAGAAACCAATAGTTTTTTTTCCAATATCTAAATTATTTGCTAGCAAAGAGCTTTTGAAATTAGGCCGAGGACCATGTGAAATTATGCTAAGGGTTATTAGGCCGAGGACCATGTGAAATTATGCTAAGGGTTATTCTGGGCCTCTAAGCTATGGTACAGGTTCTCCCAGCCTGCTCTGGAGACTACATGAATTGGTACCGTGCTGGTCACCTGTTCCCGAAACCACTGCTCTCGTTCAAAGCGCTCCTTCCTCCATTTGGCCTCTGTCTCTTCCAGGTGATTTTCATTCTCATCCCCACTGTCAGCATCCTTGTGAAAAACATCTCCCTGAGAAACATCATCTGAAACGCATGCAAAAGGAAAATGAGCTCTTGCCCTCTAAGTCTCGGTGTTCATTTTATGAGAAAAAAGGGTAATTTCAGAAATAGCATCTGGACCGAGAAGAGAAGGTATGAGGACTGTGACCAAGGCAAAGTGATAACGGATGTAGGGTAGAAAAAGACCAAATCAGAGACTGGTTATTATGGAAGCCTGAAACACCAGTGCAGTTTTAAGTGACCAGTTCATGAAAAAGAGAGCTGTGTGTTAGTTTGCTTAAAAGACCTGGAAAAAGTAGACTATAAGCCAGCTTAGTGGCCTACTGTTAGACCAATGACCCATATAGCTCAGCATCTTGTCCTTGACTGTATCCCAACACATTTACTTCATAATGTTCCATCATGGGAACAAACCTGATTCCTTAGTCCTCATTCTCCATGAAGGCAGAGGAGGTTGCTTGCATTCTGACCACTGACTCTGATAACTTTGATTTTGTTGCCCAATTCAAGCATGGCTGCAACCCATTCTGAAGCTTTCTTTGAAACATTCCTCTAGATAGATCATGGTTGGTTTCATAATGTGCTAAACTATTTTTTGTTTGTTTGTTTAGTGCAACGTAAGAAACAGAAGAAAGAGACTGAAAATCAAAAATGCCAATTATGCAACGCCCTTAATCAGATCTACGGTATGTATTCTTTTGGAGTAGTGTACACAGTTTTGATTGCTACCCTTGAAAAAAGGTGGAATAGAACTGGAATAAGTGCCGAAGAGGGCGGCCAAAATGATCAGGGATATTCAGCACATTCCTTATGAAAAAAAGCTAGAAGGTTTGGGACCCTAACTTGGGAAAAAAGTGATGGGTGTGTGATTGAGGTGTATAAAATTATATATGCCATGAAGCAAGCAGGCAGGGAGACATTTTTCTCCCCTCTCAATGTATTTTGATCAAGGGTCATCCAATCAAGCTGACTGAAATGAGATTTTAATGAGACAAAGAAGTTCCTTAACCCATGAAATTCATTACCACAAGATGTGGTTGGAAAGATCCTAAGATAACTTTAATTCCTAAGCCTAAGATCCACAGGAGTTAACTTTTTATAGATCTATTTCACTTCTCCGTGTAGATATTATACACAAATAAGATTACCCCTTTAGATCAATCTAGCTTTATTCCAAAAAGATGGAATATCTATATATATATAGAGGTAGATCTATATATACCTCTATTAGGAAAATGTTAAATATCATACATTCTTGTAAGGTTAATACAGTGGTACCTCGGGATACAAACACCTCTACTAACGAACTTTTCGGGTTACGACCAGCTCCGGCCGGAAAAATTTACCTC